TATTTATTCAAGGATTTGTTATAAAATTTTAAGACTTTATTCAACTCTTATTGAAAGACTGGTTGTGAATTATTTTTTAATTAAATAAAAAAAGAAGTACAAATTATTTTGGATAATGATCTATTTTAGTTATCATGATGAAGGCAAGGCTTAATTAACTTATTTTACCAGCTCTTATCTGATAACTCATTGGTAGATTATTGTTCCTAAATTTTTAAATGTGATTCATGTTGTGCTCTGAAAAACTGTCTTTAGTACCAGGTGTGTAAATATGAAACCAGTTTAAGTATCAATACTAGAATGCTTGTATTTATAACAACTTTTTTTTTGTATGTCTAGTGTAAAAGTCCAATCAAGCACAAATTGATCCCTTATTAACTCAAGATAGAGAAAAACGATAACACCTGGATGTAACCTAAACATCGCTATGATAACTAAAATAGAACAATACTGTATTTTTTAAAACTGTTAGATAAATAAATTATGAGAAACTATTAAACTCAAGAAAATTTTAAGTATACTTCTTTAAAAATACAATTATTCATTCCCATTTAATAAGCAGCCTTTTAGTCGCAGAGGCAGAAGTTTAGCGCGCTCTAGAGACTCATGTTTCAGGCCATTTTTTTTTTTTTAATCTCGTAACTATGCTAGTGAATATTATTAAATTCAAAATAATGGAAACCTAAGTAGAAAACAAAATAGTGGAAAACAAACAACTGTTACTTTTTTTTTTTAAGAAATAGTAGCAGAAGCATAAATGGAATTATTAAAATCCAGTCTTTGATTCGATATAAGGCATTGATTTGCAGTGATAGTTTCTTTTTCTTCTTTTTTTATACAATACTCAACATTTGTTAACTCTACTCTGCTGTTCGTTGTAAAATTTCGTACAATACAGGTATACACACAAACTGATAACTGCTTTATTATTTATAAGGGTATATTAGATAATATTTATAGACTCCAGTAGGGATAATTTTGTGCTCTTTTTTTGTTATAGCTCCTTCGATCATCATTTGTGCTTTTTTTTTTTTTTTTTTTTTTTTTTGTAACAACCTCTTAGATCATCATTAGAAATGACTTGTACAGATTTATAAAATGTTTCTGGGTAAAAGATGGAAATGCCTGTCTCTATATAAATGACTAGTGTCAAACATATATTATGAAAATAAGCAGTTATATTGACATATAATATATATATATATTTTTTTATAAATAGACATCGTTAATACTATCATCTGTATAAAAAGGGTTTAAAGCATTAGGAAAAAGGATAAACAGTAAGTTGGGTCATATCCAGTACAGTCTTATATACATCTTATTGGGAACCAGAGAACATTTGTAACTTGAGGTGGGAACACCAATTATATATAATATATATGTTATATAATTTGTTTCTCTAAATATTTTTCTACAACATTTACATAAAATAACCACACATGAGGCTTTAAAAAGTCCTTCCTTTCCAATAGTATATTGATTAATTGAGCTGAGAATTTTTTTCGAGCCTCGCCATCAAAATTATGGTACTAAAAAACATTCATTAAAAAGAACTAATGTTATGACAAGACAATATTATACACCAAGGCACTCTATCTAACCATTTTTAATATTTATTAGACATTGATAGACTTCAGTTGTTCTCATATTGTGGGCCAATGAGAATCTAATTTGTAAAACTCAGAGAAAGAATGCAAGATTTTTTTTTGTAAAATGTGGTTAGGAAGTTTGATTCTTGAACAGACATAACAGTAAATAATGAGAGATTTACTGTAATTACAGCTAAGCTAACAGTGCACATCTCTTAACGAAATGGGGCTTTGGCACTCTTCCTTTGAGGTTTTTTTACATGAACAGGAAGCAATAACCATTAAAAACAAATATATTTTGTCAATTCATTATTCTGCAATTAAATAATAATAAATAAATAACGGAAAAAGAAGTAATTCTTAGATGTTAATGCTAAGAGTCAAGAATTTTTGTAATTCAGAGCCTGTATTCACAGTTAAATAAAAAACTCATTCTGAAAATCTAAAATTCATGGTTTTTAATTCTACTTCAAATATATTTGTTTTTAAATTGACTTATCACTAAATTCTACTGCAAAAATGTTTACTGCCTATGAATTGAAATAGTTACTTCTGTGCAGACTTGTGTGAATTAGCTTAGTATGTATATTATACAACAACAATCTTAACACCTATATATATATATATATATATATATATATATATATATATATTATATATATATATATATATATATATATATATATATATAGGTGTTAAGATTGTTGTTGTATAATATACATACTAAGCTAATTCACACAAGTCTGCACAGAAGACCTATATATATATATATATATATATAGGTGTTAAGATTGTTGTTGTATAATATACATACTAAGCTAATTCACACAAGTCTGCACAGAAGTAATATATATATATATATATATATATATATACATATATATAAAATAAATATCCAAAATAAAATATATAAGGAATTCACAGAAAAATCATTCTTAGCAATCTATCTAGTACAGTCAACTCTAAATAACAAAAATTTTAAAGGCACGATTAAATCAATTTTTTTTAGCTAACCTTAGTTTGAATAAGAAAGAATTATTTAGTAATAGAAATATTTTTATTTAAAGACTAAAGTGCTTAAATGTATATAGTAAGAGATACAAAGATAAAACTAAAATATATATTTTTTTTATTGAATTATTATTTTTAAATGAGCAATATTTTTAATAATTTTGGATTACACTTAATGCTTGGGTTGTAAGAGATAGTTTGTTGCTTCAAATTAAAAAAGTAAAATGTTTACTTCAAAACTAAAGTAAAATTACATTCTAATTGTGTTTTCAACTGATTAAGATTCTGAAGTTATTGGGAAAAAAAATGTTTAAATACTCAAAAACATTTGAGTTATCAAGAGTTGACTGTATAATAATAAATTGATGAAAGTTTTCCATGCTTCTCTAAAATTTTCTTTCAATAATAACCAAAATTGCGAACATTTTATCAAAAGATACTGCTTGGAATCTGACAATAAACATTTTTACTGTGCTTTAGTATCATCATTATATTACGCATTTCATACTTTTTAAATTAATGCACATAATAAAACACTAAGGCGAACCTGTAAATATTTATGATTATAACAATTAAAGACAGCATTTAAACAACAGATAAATTAATTCATCTAACTGAAAAAAAATGTATTTAATATTATTTTTAGAAAGATCATATTTAATAAATCAGGAATTGATAACCATTAGTTAGCAGTTTTAGAATAATAGTACTGTTAATATAAAATAATATTTGAATTAAAAAAGCTAATAAAAAAAAAAATTCAGAAAGAAAAATTTACAGCCCAAGGAATTATTTTACTTTCCATGAATGTCTCTTTTTCCATTGATGTTTCAAAAATGAAAAAGACTGCATATAGCATTTAGGATATTGTAATTTCAGCTGGTAGTACGATTACCTATAACAAATACTTTAAAACTGAATATAAATACTCACACATAATCATAATAATCAATATCCCGACAAAAAAGTTTAAATTTCACTCCACTGCACAAACACATACACTGATCTTACCCTCCTATTGCACTGCCCTAATAAAAATTATGATACAATAAATCTAAAAAAATAGCACCTTACACTAGGTATAAACAGTAAAATATGAAAAGAAGAAATGTATGTAAAAGTACAAATATACATAATGGAAGACCCCATTCACTATAACTCATAAAGACTAAAAAAATTTAAAAAGACATTTCAAAAAATCGATCAATCATCACATTTTATTGGCATTACAATTATGTAAGTTATAATATTATATGTTTTCAGGCATAATTATTTATTACTATTTTTAAATTTCTTGAGGCCTAACTGAAATGTATGTGAAATAGTAAAATTACGGTAATTTTTCAACATATAAGAACATCATACTTCAGGTAAAATAGGTGCTGAAGCTAAAGAACATATCTGAAGAACGATTATAATAAATCGATGAAAAATAGCCTTTGGCAATTTGAAAGTCATTCAAATAATTTTGGGCATGGAAATTTTTTTTATTATTTTTAAAAGTGGACAATAAATGGATTATCATGAAAAATGAAATTGTTTTATGAACTATCATTAAAAATTCTTAGCAGAAGGTATTGAAAACTGTTTTTTTTTTTTTTTTTTAAACATAAATCAATTCATTCACTTAATTTTAATGTTTATCTCATATTTTGATAATGTAAACCAAAAACTAACCAATGCGACCAGATGAAAATATATTTATGCACAACACCCTCTTCCATAAAAAATTTTACCCTGTCACCTAGAATCCAGAACAGAATCTAAGGCCAATTACACAATCAGATGGAAAATTACCAATAAATCATGTTACAATTCCTAAAAAGCTTATTCCTAAATGCCGGTATATTAATATACTTCAAGTATTGTACAAATATATAAAATATATATAAATTATCTCAAACATCTTATGTTGAAATACAAAGAGATATTATAAAAAACATATTTACAATAGCCTAATCTAAATTTACTTACAACAATAGCAATATTGCAATAAGCACAATTTCACTCTTATCACAAGTATTAAAGTATAAAAAAATTTATTTAATCTGTATATAAGTTAATATGAAATTTATTGGTCTCCATAGAGGCAAGAGGTGCAGATTCCAAAACTGGTGTAACAGGCCTTATCTGTTGACAATGAGGTAGAAATTTCAAAAATAATGAAAAAAAAATATTGATAGTAAAAAATTCAGCACCTTTTGAAATACATTTCAGGATACAATTAATATTTTACTCATATGGAATGTAAAATACTTTACATTTTTAGATACTTGCATTTATTTAATGCTTGTAATATTTATCTAACTATTATACATATATATATATATATATATATATATATATATATATATATATATATATATATATATATATATATATATATATATATATATATATATAAAATAGTATAAGGTTTTTAAAAATGCAAGGATACTAAAAACTAAAAAAATCACATGAAGAATACAAAATAGATTATGTTTAATATTTTCAATAATAATTATTTTTTAGGTATTATGGACATGGTTTTCATCATTGCCCTTTCAGAAATCCAACACCACCTGATACTATATTAGTATGAATGTAAAAAAATTATTTAAATTATAATAAACATAATTGTAATGCCAAAAATTAGGTAAATGAAATACCTGAAAGCACAGATGAGAGATTAAATAGAGAACAGATGGGAGACTTTAAAAGAATACATTAGGAAGCTCATGTTACAGGTTTGAGAATAGACACGGGCTCGACGAGCTGAGGTGGCGCAACCTGATGTCAGACATTACTTTCTTCAAACTTGACCTCTCGGTGCCTTCTAACGCTGGTCCTCTTAGGAGTAACAGGGGTCAAAGGAACAGGAAGCAGGTTTGCTGGCTGTGCTGCTGCAGCAGCGAAGGGAGAATTTTCCAAGAACTGATTGGCGACAACGGGAGGCCACCACTCATGTTGAGTGTACTTCAGCGGTGACTCAGCTGTAATAAAATATATATACTTTGAAATGATAAAGCTTTAGTTGAAATTTAGGTCGAGGTTATAAAAGGTTTATGATGTGATTGACTATAACTTTTGATTAGTGTATTCTTGTTATTTAAAGTATAATTTTTTGTTAACTGTTGTATTTAATAAAACATTACGGTTTTTATTTTTTTTCATTAGTTATGTTTACATTAAGGTTTCTGTTTAATTTTGTTTCGTTAGAGTCAATCATTCTGGACTTCGTAGGTTGAGTTCTCAAAGTTTTTTAGATTCTTTTAGGGTAGAATCTCAGGAACCTTGTGGCTTAGAAGTGGTTGGGATCTTGAGATAAGTGTCTTTGTGCAATTAATAAAGTATAATTTGACTGTATCCTCCTTGAATCTACTATTGAACACTTTTACATTTTTTAAGAGAAATTAGTCGAGTCCTTAGGTAGTTAAAATTATTCAAAGCTTCTGTAGAAAACCCTGAGACTCTTATAGGCCATTAGTTAAGGGAAAATTTTACTTTGGTAAATAAAAGATTAGAAAGAACACTTCATCATTGTGTTAAACGATAATATAGATGAAGGATTAGAAACATCTATGTACCAAAATCTTTCAGTTAAAAGGGCCAGGAAGGATTATCCTGATGCTAAAAAGAAATCTGAAGGGGGTTGTAACCTACTTCTTGAAGCCAAGCGAATACAGGAGAATGTCCATCTAAACATGGCCAAACATGAAAAAATCTGTAAGCAGTGTTAAGCAGGGCGCTCACTTGGTCTGCTCCGGAATTCTCTGCCCCAATCTGTATTTAGCCTTAAAAAAAACATGCTCACTTGTACTCCGGATTTTCATAAAAGAATTTGACTAAATAGATAGCAAGTCTGTGCACTAGGCTGCACAGCGGTCCCAAATTTGGTTTCTGTATGGTTATAATTCTATAACTCAGCTAGTTTTAAGTATATTTTCTATTGTCTTCGTTTTATAGCATCATTAGTAACAAGGGGAGGTTATGGACGTGGGGTCAGTGATTTCAATGAAACTTTTTTTGGTAATACCAGCTCGAAAAATATTTTACCAATGTCCGAGGGTTCTTGAAAATGCTCACTAGGAGCCGAGAAAAAAATATTTTATTATTTTTTATTTATATTTTCGGATTTTGCTCTGCATGGATTTCTAAGTTATTATACATCAATCGATTTGTTTTTATGTAAAATAAGAAAACAATATTGCTAATTGTGTTAAACGAATTATAATGTACAATAAATTACAAAAAGACAAAGACGCTTCCAGTAAAGAAGGCCAATAAGTTTTTGTCATGAAAAAAGATTTATATTCGTTTTTAGGGTTCACTAAAACTCTTAAATACAATTTTTTTTCAATCAAAAAATATAAATTTTTGGACTTAATTTTCTGGGTGGATTATTTTCATGCCTTTTACTAAAATATTTGTAACTCCTCAGGAATTGCCCCTAAGTCAATGTTACTTTACTACAACTGTTGGAAAGCTAAATTATTGATCTTCAAAACTATTTTAATAATTTTCAATAACTACAAAATATATTGGCAAGAACCCTGAGACATGGGTAAAATATTTTTCGACCTAGTATAAAAATTTTTTTTTATTGAACTCGGTGACCCCATGTCCGTGACCTCCCATTGTAAGTATTCTCCATTATCTGTGCAAGGAATATAAAATATTATCAGAAATATATGAAAATATAAAAATAAACGATATTATGGTATATAAAATGAGATAACTTATAATAAAATTCAATTTTTTTTTTCTAGCATTAAAACTTCTTGTTTTAGCTTCCAAAGACATTATTTATTTATATATCAAATAAAATATTATATTTTTTTAAGTATTGTTAAATTTTATTAATTTCAAATTCAATCCAATCAACTAAAAACCTAGTAGATTTTTTTATTTCTTGTAAAATATTCACGCACACATGGCACTTTCGGTGAAAATTTTATTTTTTTTATTTTATTTTTTTATTGCTATGAAAATTCGTATATGATGAGTTTCCCAGGCATGAAAAACCAATCTCCATTTGGTTTCTCCTTAGTTTAGACCTACAATTTATAATTGTAGGGTTCTGAACCCTCAAGCTCAACCCTCTGCTAAACCCTCAAACATAAGAAAATTCAATCCAAAGTATTACAAAGGATAGTTGATGCATCATTTTATCTCATAATTGAAATAATACATAAGGAGTTAAACACCCCAACAATTCAAGAGGCTGCAAAAGAAAATTACAATAACTTTCATCAAATGCATACTTACAACATGAACCCACTGACATAAATTCTTAATCGCACAAGACATCCCCATGATGATTCCCTTCATACAATCGCAGATACTATACATAAAGGAAAAAAAACATGACAAAGAACTTTGGTTACTCACTATCAGAAAGCAGAAGATCAGATTTATCTGCAGCTTGCTTACGCCATGCATTAGATCTGACATGTCCCTTGGTGCTAGTATTGACAGCATCGGCCGATAATGAACGAGACATCATTCTTCTTAGGTGTTCACATCCTGTAGGGGTGGCATCTTTAGTTCCATAACTTCCAGTTAATCCAACAGCTTCATTTAACCAGTACAACTTCTGTGTTATATCCTTACCTTAAAAATGAGAACATAATAATGTGTTGAACAGTAAATAAAATAAAGATATAAGAAAATTATTAAACAATTAAAAATGTAAATGAATGGCAATCAACCAAAAAAGGACAAATTGGATATTTTAAAATGTTTGCGTTTTTTTTTTTTTAATTCATGATGTCAATAGCTAATTATGTTTAAAAATGGCATATCTTTAACTTTCATGTTTATACATCTTCCTTGTTGGTCATCTTAATATAAGAATGGCGAAAAGGTCACTTTCTAAAATGCCTTGTCAAACATTCTCTCCTGTAAAGAAGTGAATTGTAAGATTTGCCTTTTTTACAGAACACTGGGGTTACATACATATATATATATATATATATATATATATTATTTTTTTCACAATTAGAGTATTGAATCACTAAAAAATTCAATCGATCAGTTTGCAAACAACATTAATAATGGATACATATCAAAGCAGGTAGTTGATGAATTAATTTAAAGATTATGTGTTTAGAATTAAACCGTTATAATTTACATAATAATTTATTGAAAACATGCATACATAGTCCAAGATATTTTGATAATGATTCAAGGCTTATATTTGATCTTTAGGTTTGGAAATAATTTAAACAATGTTTTGAGAGAAAATAATGGTTTAAACATGATATAAATTCATATATAAATACATTCAATAGAATAAGTGTCAGATCTCTACAAAAATTTTTGTTTTTACTAAAGACAATGTTTTGCTTTAAAGTATCTTCAGAACTATAATTAAAAATAAATAAATAAGTTACTTATAATGCTAATGCTATCCATTTAAGAATAAGTTGCTTTTCAAGATTTTTATAAATAAGATATTGGTTAATTGTTTATTTTGACAAACCTTTTATATCTTAAATATATTATGATGGCAAGGGATTACTTGCTTGGTTTTCCTATATTAAGAAGTATTGGATACACAACTATAATTGCCTTTAATTAAAAGTTGTAGAATTAAAAATGCCTTAAAATCTAAAGTTATGCAATTTTATTTAGACGCTACTACATATATTTTAGTGATTTTGCAGGTGTAACATTTACTTTTTAAGTGCTTGGAAATCTCTAGATGGCACATGAAAAACCTAGAACCACTACAGAGATTTGAGAGAACAGCTTAGCACTGCCAAGAGCCTTCTGTAGGCTATAAAAACTTGCGATGGATAGGGATTCACGTTTCTTGTGGAATATTCCAACTGTTCTGTTTCCTGTGAAATATCAGTAGTTTTTTCGTTCCACTCCTGTTTTGCTCCAACCTAAACTCTCATTCTCTCATTTTTTAAACATTTGAGGCCTCAGGCATATTTATTTCTAAGGCACACTTTAAAAATGAAGGTCATTATTGTTATCATTTTGTTATTGTTCATTTGCAGGTTTTTATTATTTTTTTTTTTTATGTTGCTAGATTAATCAATGTGTGGATAATATGTTGTTCTTTTTTGCAATAAAGTTATGATTTGATTAAAAAAATAAAAAGAAACGGCTATGAAATTCAACAGTTTATAACAGTATTTCAGGTAGTATATTTCAAAATAAATGTTATCAATAAAAAGAGAATGATAATAATTAATTACCTAACATTTTTTTTCTGAATGAGTAACAAAGAATACATGAGAAAATATGGAAATGGAAAAAATAAATATTAATATAAATAAATAATGTTAAATATTTATTCAATAAATCGGATATTGTTTCTTCTAATTAATTTTTTTTTTATATATATAGCAAAGCACTTTTGAGGTTCAAGTAATTCACTTTGATAAAAATACTGTTTAGAGATTTGGGGATGGCCTATTTTTTGTGAAATTTATGTTATACCATTTCTACTGTTCAATTTCGTCAGATACGGATACTGAATTTAATCTTTCCATTTTAAACAGGTCTCCAATTCAAAATTAGTCTCATTCTCTCGTCCCATGTACTGGTGAGTCTAAGGCAGTCTTGTTTCATGTAACAGTCCAACTTGGTCTCGTTTTCTCATTCCTTGTGCTGTTCCAATTTGTCACAATCCCTCATTCTTTTTATTGGTCCAACTTGTCTCGTTCCTATATTCCTTATACCAGCCCCACTTGTCTTATTCGCTATGCCAGTCCAACTCAGTCTTATTCCCTACCAATACTTTTAAATTCCAGAATTGAATTTGTTATTTCAATATTTTGTCACTGAAAAATATTATAATTAAACTAACAATTTAATATAATATTTTGAATATATATGGAACATTAATTCATTAAAAATAGAACTGTTTAATTTTTTAAATAGTACTGACATTTTTTTATTATTAAATAAAGTATTTTTTACCCTTGAAAAAGACAGGTGAAGTAGTTCGGTCATGTTTGTAAGACGAGCTAGAACCGAGAACCCAGAAAAGTTATGGAAGCTTAACCTTACAGGCAACAGGCCATACGGAAGATGTAGAATTTTATATGAAGAGTATATCCAAAGGATTGGAGGAAAAACTCTCCAACAAATGAAGCAACTCAGCAGAGACAGCAGGGGATTGAAGCCCCTCCACAGTAGATGCACGCTAGGCACAAGGGGTGGCAAAAAGGACCAATATACCCACTTGCCGGACTAAGTCTCTCCTCCCCCCCCCCACCAGTACCAGGCACAAGGAGGAAGATAGAGAAGAAGAAATTAAGTATTGCATCAAGCCTATTTCGCACAGAATTACCACCATGTATAAGCCATCGCAGACAATCTGAGATTGATATAGGCAACTGAGATTGTTATAACCAATATGCTTTTATAACGATGATAGGCAATTAAACTGTCATACCAAGGTCCCTACGAGATCACTATAAATGATATAAAGAGCATATGTTGCATATCAATGCTAAGAATTAAAAAATACAAATAGCTTACTTTCACAGTGATTTTCAAAGAGGTACAAAAATAAGATTAGAGTCAACAGAACTACTGTCGCTGGTTTAAGAAATAAATATTTTCTTTGAAAATCCTTTATAAAATCTGCCCATAAATAAAAAAAAACACTAGTTCAAAAATCACATCGATCACAATGAAATTAAATGAAAAATAATTTCATTCTGGGACTAAAGTCTCCTTACAATAACAGCAGAAGTTCAAAAAAATATATACCTCAGTCTGGTATGTTTTTATAATAGAAATATATAAACAGAATCCTAAGAAAAATAAGAGTTATATACAAAAGAAAAAATACTAAAAGAAAAAAAATGAAATGGCATTTAACTGTTGGCAAGCAATAATAATTACATAACCTAAAAAATCGTACAAGCTTGCAGAAGTTTGAATGTGTAGTAGGTGAAGGAATAGGAGTTGTTTGAAGGAATTCGTGGACTTGGTTTGACGTATGGAGATAGGAAAGGAGTTCCAAAAGGAGGTAGCATGATAAAATGATGAAGGATTTGCTGAAGAAAGGGGTTTGATGAGAGGGGATATATAAATCTATAGGCTCACATCTGGTATTACGAAAGTGGATAGAGAAACGCAGAATAAGGAGTTCTAGAATGTAGAACTCGGCATAAAAGCAGGAAACATGGGAACACCTAGGGATTCCAAAGATGAATCTTATGATCATAATGTGTACATAAATGATTTATCTCCAAGTAAGGCCAAGAGCTCAACTGAAAAGGATTCATAGGGGGTTTGTTTATCCCTCAAACAAGCATAGCAAGCCCACCTATAAAATTAGTTAACACGTGGCTACTTTCACAATTCCATCTTCATTATGATCAATGTGATCTTGACCCACCTATCGACCAGATGTGACACTACTGAAAAAGTACCTATAAGAACACTTACCTATTAAATTAGACAGTATTATCTTCAACATAGGCCTATGTCTGAGCACTCTAGCTAATTTTAATTTAGGCCAACACAAATACAGACTTTCTTCTTCTGCTGTGATTGTCACCTAACAAAAAAAAATAAATAAATAAAAATAAATAGCTATGCTTAAGCACTTAAGAGTAAAGTGAAGTAATACCCACCTGAAACAATTCATCACTAGTGACATGACCAGCTTCCCATTCGGGTGAATCGATGAATTGATATGAGTTAATATAATGGAGATGAATATTATCACAACTAACTTTCAACCTAAAACCATAATTTATCTCAGATCTGAATACTTAAACATTGACCAGTGGTAGGACTTTAAACAAATATGAAAGCACATTTAACAAAAATAGTTGCATAATAATACAATCAGATAAGAGAGTAATATTTTAAATAACTATTCTATTCTAAAATCCAAAAACGAATTTATGCTAAAATCTAATCACATTAATAGTTTCTAATAAACTAATACCTATCATAACAAATTATGAAATCTGTATAACTACTTTAAAATAAATAATATACTTATTAATAGATATAATAACATTATAATATTGATATTAATTAGAAAGATATCAATACATTATTTATTTATAAAACTAAATCTAAAGCACCTCACCAATACCTTAACTTTATATCAACAGAAATCCCAAGACCATTTATAATATATAACAATTACCCAATAAACAACATGGTAACAAAAATGAGTAGTCAAAAAGATCATAATATAACAAAACAAGTAACATCTCCATTATAGTCTTATAAACATTTTATGAATTGTTTCTACTCCTTCTAAGATGTATAAGTGGTGTATGGCCGAGGAAAATTGAAGGGACTGTTCGAGCAACATACATATTAAACATACTCAACAAAACCCAAAATATATACCAAAATACCAATAGCAGCCAGTAACTTATTAAATGAGTATGATATGGAAACTGTCTAACACCACTTTCTTCGATGTAAGTCACTTCGGAATTCAATAAAATATCTTGAATCCATTCGTTGATATGAATCATATTTGAAAGATAGAAATCCGAGACAAATCACAAAAATTATCACCAATAAGTCTTAACAGCTGATGAGGAACGAAACCTAACCAGAGATATCGAGACGTTCGCTAATGATTACTCCACTGAAGACAGGCTGTAGATCGATAGTTTTGAATATTCACTATTTTTTCATTTGATTTTAGTGTTTTAATAGTGTAAAACAAAATTTTAAATCTTGCTGCTTTTAACTATCGAGACGGCCAATAATAGTTTGAATGTAATTAGAGTATTCATCTTCAACAATGATTATTGCAGACCAGCACTAGCGGATCCAAGATTTAATTTTGGGGGGCTTCAGCCCCAAACCTTTTTTTTCATATAGATATATAACGATAGTTAATTTGAAAACAAAAAAGAAAGAAACTAACTACCTATATGACATCGTGTTTAAGTGATTTTTGAAGTCCTACTTAATGTAATTACACGAACAATAATACTTTTAGAGATAGTTTTTAATATTTTTTTATATAAAATATGGTTATAATTTACCATTTTGGGACGGGGCTTCAGCCTCCCGTAGATCTGTCTGTGCAGACTAATAAAACTAATTATCTTAACGTGCACTTCATTTCGATTTGGTCATACCTATCATAAGATGGATAATTTTTTTTTTTAAATTCGTGCGACAAGAAAGTATTTCAAAAACACCGTGTTGAAACAAACATTTTTTCGAGCCCAAAATGTCATGAAAATATGACAATGAGATGCGATTTCTTGAGGTTTATTGCTACCAACTAATTTATCTAGGAAGGATCCAATTATGTATTTATATAAATACAAACTGTATGACTATAACAACATTTTAATACGATAATAATACAATATCTTATATTTAACCGAAATCATAAGTATAAATAAACTGTAGTAATTTCCTCGAAATGTCTTACCTGCAGACTGTTTTATTCATTAATATTTTACAACATATTTACAAATGCGTTGAAATGCATCAAGTAAATGTGTTGTTTTGTTCCGTTCTTAAACCATTTTTTTTCGGATAATATTGTTGATGAAGGATCACTATTTATTTAGTTTAAAATATTACGAGTTTAACAGTACCCATTTTGGTCTGGAATGTCTGTAATTTTTGTAACTACGTCTAGTAGAACCTTAAATTTGTAAGGCATACATCCATATGGGTTTGATTAGCTAAATGTATGTATTAATTTTTTGTCTAATTTTCAATTTTGATTAGGAAAAAAGTAAGATAGTATTTTCAGTCACTTGTTCAAAGTATTTCGTTTCATTTTGATATGTGGGCTAATTAATTAAAAATTAATTGAGCATTAAGAATTAAAAAATATTTTATGTTTAGTTATTTCCACAATCGCATTTCTGTCTAAATTTGTAGATGACATAATTAACACGATCTCGACAAACCATAATGACAAAGATATAATTTTAACAGAATTTAATAACTATACCCCTATTGATCAAATATTACAATAGAATTTAAATTGAAAAAAAATTACTATTTTTAGTTCTTTAGATTCCGAACCAAAACGATACAGCAAAGACAATGGTGGCAAAACCCTATTCACTCTGGAACATTAATTCATTACATCAGTCAATATCCAAAGTGATATAAAATTAACACACCAAACGAAATAAACTGACTTTTAAAGAATAGTTACAAATAAAAATCTTCAGAAAATAAAGTAGTTGACAAAAACCAGATACCCCCCACTACTTTAATAACTCCAATATGAAATAAATGGTAAAAAATACTCTATAATTGCCAAAATACAACAAACACTTTTGGAAAGTATATACATGTACTTGCTATAGAAACACACAATTAAAAGTAACAATGATAATGCGATCGCATTAAAAAATATTGAGTGAAATATTATACCTATATGGAATTTCTTCAAGAGAATTGCAATATGTATGTGTATAAAACAAATTTGGAGAGCAATATCTACATAATTGCAATCTGCTTATTCTAAAAACAACATAATTTTTATATTGAGGGATGTAATTCATTAAAAATTAATCAGCCACTGGATGATTCAATATGGCTACTCAAAAATACAAGAAGAAAAGTATATCCTATATACTTACTGCTTGGTTAAGTAGAGTTTAGGGTTACCAGTGGATTTCTGTTTACTTGAACTATCTCAGGAGCAAAGCTAGAAGATTAGGAAGCAAATCAACCCACAGTAAATCAGTAAGAAGAGGTTGAATGGGTGAATTTGCTTGATCTTATTAATTATTGGAATAAACCAAAATAATTATCAATGACAATTAAATTAATTGGTTTCATTTTATTTAAATTGACGAACCTTGTACATTAAATATTTTATTTTTAAATATAAGAGAAAATGGTTACTTGCTATACTTACTATATAAAATTAATTACCATTTGAAGCTGAAACTTTGAAAAAATTATACCATAAATCCCAGTTTCTGAAGAGCCAAAGAAATTTCAGTGGTATCATCAGATGGAATATGAATGAGTAACAAACAATCTGGTTTATTTTATTTTCAATAAAAAAATCTTTTATGTGAACAATGATATGAGAATGTTACTGAAGAGGACTAAAATGAATTCAATTTCACTACGATAAAAAAAAACACCTCATTTTATCAAACAATCAAAAGTAGTTTTAATGCCTATACGAAAAGGAGGAATTTTTTCCTTATTATTTTCACTACTGTTTGTATTCCTCTCATCATTGTTAGTGATGATTATGGAAATATTATTTTAAAATAAACAATTAATATATACAAAAAAAAATATCAATAAGACTACTCAAATTAAAAATGGAACATTAGTTAAGACTTGAACTTGTATTTTAATTTTACAGATCAATCACCAAATGGATTAGGTCAGTGAGTAAATATCTAGGCTGTTAATTTTATAACCTGAATCCAAGTTTAAATCTAGTCATGATGAAATTTTAACATTTGAAGGGCTGGTAAATTTTAGATCAGCTTCTTGCATGGCTGTTGGTCTAGAAACAGTACTTCTATACCATGTATTCATCGAAGTATCCTTCATTGATGGTAAAAGTACAGGATTTTTTCATGTATTAGTGTAATTTTTATTGCTCCAGGAATCGCTCCTGGACGCCGACCTGGAGGGGCGCCCGTGGGAGGTGTCGGCCGATCCTCAGAGGCACTTGCCATTTGTTAGAAAAAATTTTTCAACTTATTTATTGAAAAATATTACAATATGTCTCAATTAAGGATACTTATAATAGAATTCAGAGAGCATATTCACACCATAAGTAAGAAATTTAAAATAAATAAAAAATACAACACATTAAAATAATTAATTTCAGTCTAAATAATTAATAATTAATTTCAGTCAATAAAGCAACTGTATTAGAGAAATGTTTAATGGAATAAAATTCAAATATAACATATTATGAAATAGCTTAAGGAATAAATTTAATTTTTTTAGGGGAGGGATGATGTCATTGCCCCGGGAGTGTGGAATGCCTAAGGCCGCACTGTTGACAGGTTCTTAAATTGTGGTGGTAAAACAATTTTGATATGAACTTTACATCTTCCAACTTTTTTTCTATTATATAAATAACATTCTAAATTGTCAAAACTTTTTTTAAATAAATATAAACCAAACCCAACTAAACAAAACCATCACAAAAAAACCACAAACTAACACCACCATACATTATAAACCACACAACAAAATAATTAACACTTCTTTTTCACCTCCCCCCCTACAACTCAAAACATCCCACCCACCACACCACAACATACATATCCCCCCCAACCCCAAATACAACCAACAACACTACATACCCCTAATACCTCAACCACCCACCACTCACACACAACCACACTCACAAACCACCCATAATCTTATAACAATCACAACATAATAATAAAACCCTACCACCACAATTCAATCCCAAAAATTCAAAAAAAATCACAAACCATACAAACAAAACCAAACCTACCTCACTCACTACACACCACCTCCAAAATACTACAACACTATCCACCTCAACCCCTTCACCCTACCTCTACACCATTCAACACACTACCTAACAAAACCCCATCAAACATCCCCAAACCCCTTTCACCCCCAACACCCCACAACCCACCTAACCAACCTTCATCTATCTCCTTATTACACCTAAATCCCCCCCCCCCTCACTACATACTTCACCAACCTCACCCTCTCATAATCTCCCCCTAAACCCAATACCCCATCCCCTCATATCCTCACCATCCCCCTCCCCATCAATCCCCCCCTCCCCATCCCACCCCCCCTCACATCCCCAACACCACCCCCCCCACCTTAACCCCACCCCCCCATAAACCCCTTCCACACCTCCCAATATTACCAACACAACTTACACACCTACCCCAAACAGCATCAATAAGATTACAATTCACACAATATATATATATAAATCACATCGACAATCTAAAAAAGATACATCAACTAATGTTAATATATTACTCCAAAGCATCAAAGACATTTTACATTGATACCAAGGATTTGTTTTTCAAATCTTCCATTTATATCAAAATGATTAATTTATGCTCCTCTTATGAGATTTGCTTTTTAAAATCATATATTGTTGTCAGTTCAATTCAATAAATTATTAATAGGGTGTTTAAAAAAAATGTTAGTTTTCAAACAAAATATTCGTTTTATTATTTCTTTGATATAAAATACAATTAATAATAAATATAGTCCATTGTTATCTACTGTCATTAGCCATCTGCTTGCCAATTGCTCAATCCCACGCTGATATCATTCTCTGGGATGGCTATCAAAGAACTCTTGGACCGTAATTTCAACTACCACAAAATTATCAAATTTTTCTCTTGAAGAAAATGACCATGGATCTAAATAAGTAGTAATCCGATGGTGCGAGGAGGCAGTCATATAGTGGATGAGGCAGGAGTTCGATCCCATGAAGTTTTTTAAACTTTTCTTTGGTTCGACAGGAAGTATGAGGACGAGCATTATCTTATTGGAATAAAATTCCTTTTCAGTTGATCAAAGCAGGATAACACTCTGACAATTTCGCATATAGTCTTTCCAGTTTTTCGCAGAAGAGTTCAGAATTCATAGAGCATCCATCAGTAACAATGATGAATAATTTTTCGTGATGAATAACAACTTCAAAATTAAAAAAAACGCATAGCATGGATTTTTTTTTAAATTGCCCACTTGCAGGAACTTTTTTTTTTTATTTTTATTTTTTTTTTTCCCCCTACCTGGCCATTTCTGGCATACGGGGTCACCCCCACTTGCAGGAACTGGAAAAGCAGTTGTATCTAGCCATGCAATGTATCCATTGCTCATGGATATTCGGCTATTGGATATTCGGATTTTGCCAGTTAACCCACTTTTCATCACAGGTGATAATCTTTTAATAAAATTTCATATCAGGATGGTTTTCAAAAAATTTTCACAAATTTCTAACCTCTTAGCTGGTTTCTGAGGAGTAAGTTCGTGAGGAACCAGTCTACTGCTCTTTTTCACCTTCCCCATGGAGAGTAGATGGCGAATAACAGTATCTTTCAACACACCATACTCCCAGGCAAGGTAGCGAGTACTTATGGATGGATTTTATTCAACAGCTTTCTGCAGAACCTCATCAATATCCATTAATAGTCCCCAGAACCCTTCTTCTTTTCCAACATCGTATCTCCACTGTTAAATTTTTCAAAACAATCCCACGCAGTGCGCTGGTTAAGGACATCTTCCCCTTCATATTTAATAATTTCACGAGTTGCTTAAGCGACATTCGACGGTCATTCATTTTTTTTATAGCCCCTATCATATGAATGAAAATCATATATTTCTTTGGAAATGTGTGAAATTATCAACTAAAAAAACAATTACACTAAGTTTAGGAGTTGAAATTTTATAGAAACCCACAAAAGCATCTTTTCAAAATTATTGCTTATATCATCTAACCCTTTCCATGTTTTTAGCAATTCATCAATGTATCAGATTGGTGTCACAGCTTTCAGTTGGAATCCATACTCTATTCTCTTTTTCCTATTCAGTATAACTTATATATTTTTTATAAAATCTTGTATTTTATACCATATAATGAGATCCATTTTCATCTTTTAAGCTGAATAATGATCCTTTTTAGATTCTTGTACTAGTACCATGGTATTGTAGCCTAGACAAGACGAAATTCATATCGGTCAGGGTGTAAAGTTAAACATTTTCTCCATAGTGTTTGTGTTTATATAATAGAATAGAACATTCTTAATTGATTTTACATTTCTTTGTGAATGGTACAGCAGAAGCTTTGTTGGATTGATATTAAATCTTTGTTCGAAGAACCATTTTCAGACAGTAATAAGATTGACAATTTAAAACAATGCTTCCCTTTCATAGTCAATGCTAAGTCCTCTAATTGGCACATAACACATTACTTCAAAATCTATTACTACAGCTAGTCATGAAATCCAACATAACATACATTTAAGAGTTTAGAAGTTTTTCAAAATTGATTATATCATCTCTTTAATGATAGCTTGGATCATACGTAGTTGCATGCAACTACTAAAAGTTTAACTTAAACATGCAAACTGAATCAATAACTGGCCACCATGTTTTGTTTTTTAAATTGGTCAGTATGATGAAAATCAAATAATATGAGAAAGGTCGAACATCCAAAGTATGTTTATTTGAAATTTGTTTTTACTCTATATTTTATTAAACCCAATGGACTTATATCCAAAAATAATTATTATTATAAGTATTAACCATTTAGACTGTGCAGTATAACATCAATGTTAAGAATAAATTATAATTAATTTCAGGGAAATAAGAAATTAAAGAAAAAAGAAAAAAAAATTATTCCCACTCCAACCCATAGTTACAGACAATGGTTGTGATATATATTTCTCAACCTTGTGTTATTTTAGTTAGGCTGTAGTTTACCACTATCCAACAACTCAAATTTACCCTGACTGATGCCAGGTGTTCATTTTTTAGGATCCGATTTACTCATGAATGTCTATCTAACCATGGTTTCAAACATGATAAAGCCCACTAAATTTCTATTTTTCACCACAAAAGTCAATAGTATACTTAGTTCATTTTGAATTCTGAAGTAGATATACACACACACACACACACATATATATATATATATATATATATATATATATATATAGCTACAAAAAGAGAAAAAAGTTTGTTTTTAATATTTCAAATCAAAGCTTTGTTTTTTAAGTACAATAATAACATTTTAAACTAAAGTGACTATTTTTTCAATCCCAATAGTTAATGATAATTGCAATTTCTACTAAATTGAAAAGTTACCTCAAAATAAAAATTCCAGGTTTGTAGCTTCTCGGTATTAGGAAAGCAGCAGCGAAAAACAAGTTGGACAACTGGAATAAGTTGTGCTGTGCTGGCTCCCACTCACCACAGACCTGAATATCTTGATCAATGTAAGTCGGTAGACTTGAATTGATATCTAAGTACGAATTTGTACAATTATCATCCAAAAGAAGACTACAGTTTTCCATGGTGCTCGCCAGGCTCGGCTCTCCCACCCATAGCACTTTCGACTAACTATCCTGTAATAGTATTCAGTCTTTTAATTTATGTATTTATTATGAACTGATGATTATTTATTGAATATTTCAAAAATAGCTTAGTCAGAAATATCCATAAAAACCATTATAGCTGAGAAAAAAAATTCAATATAAATAATAGTAACAATATTTATGTCGATATAATTTTTTGAAAAAAACTTAGACGCCATTCAATAAACTTTACAAGAAATACTAAAGTGTTCATTTACCAATTAAAAAAAATTGTTTGTTGTAAATTTTGTCTTTACTGGATAGCTGTAAGTGTAACTCTATACTTTATGTGGAGGTGAGCAATAATAAGGGAATGGACCTTAATATAATCAATATAATTTAACAAACATATTTTGTAAACAATAAATATTACTTTAAAATACTTTTCTCCAACCAGACTTTGGCAAAATTGATTGATTATTAACTAAAAAAAAAAAGTCTATGAATATATTACTTTAATTTTATACAAATAAAGAAAACAGTTAAAAAAATATTTATCCTTATGTTATTAGCTACCCACATGAGAAATGTTAATTAATTAATATTTTAATTAGATAAGCTCACGCTGGAGTGGATTCCATTGTTATTTGACCTTATGATTACTGCAACTCTATAATCAGTTGAATATTTATTTTTTGATTGAACTTTGTCTTTAGTATTAAAATGAAGTCAAATTAAAAATAAGAAATTAGTCAATTATAATTCATAACAGTAACAATTACAATAGTCATAACTTGTTGATTTGTTATTGTTAAACATTCTGTTTTAAAAGAATCTTCTTTTATAAATGATATTGGTTTCACAAGGAAATGCTATCCTCAATTGTATGAATGAGAAGAATTAAAATCTGTTTATTAGGCAAGATTATAAGTCTTTATACCATTATTAATTTCAATAGAATTTTTGGATTTTTTAAATTTATTTATTGAAGGAAAGAATATCAATTTTTCTTATATCTTCTTCACTTAGCAATTCATACTTGCAAAGAGAAATAATTTACTACACCATGCCCACTTTGTGTATAATAATTCATTTTTTAAAAAGTATTTATTTTATTTAAGTAAATATTGAAATAATCCTTTTTTAATTTTAGTGAATTAGTTATAAATAGATTAGAAGAGATATCTATTGATAGATAAGATTATGAATAAAATTTAGCAATCTGCTCATAAACAACAAAAAACAAATTTTATTAATTTTTTATTTATTATTTTAATTCTGATTATTCTGTACTACCAATTTCATACAAACGAGGGTATTTTAAATATTGTTTTATACAAGTTTTTTTAAAAAAAAGATGATTACTTTCGTTTTAATGGTTTCAACTGGTAAATAAGGAATTTTCAAGAGGAAATGAAATGAATTATAGAAACTTACCTCATGTCCAGTCTGTTAACATTTCTGCACAGCCTACTACTAACTGACAGTTAAAAAATCACTCTGCACTTGTGTCTCCATATTTGCAACTAACCTGCAAAGTAACCAGCTGTCTTTATCCAAGAATTATTTTTCTAGAAATTTTCTATTCTCAATTATACATATTTGAACAAAGCATATTTTATTAAGATTGAAAATATTTTAACAGTTTTCTTCTCTACTTTATTGATACCCTAATGGGTTAGGAGAAACTGTCATGCCCTTTTTATGATTTCAGTTTTTTCATTTGTAAAAACTATGCCTTATTACCTTTTTTGGGTGTGACTATTCCATGTATTGTAGTAAAGAAGAGGTTCTTGATGGACAACAACATGGGTTGGTTAGGAATGTTACTTGCCCCTCCCAAGTGTGCAAAAATCAATATCCAGCCAACAATCACAGGCCAGTGTTTATTACTTCAGCTGAGCCTTAAAAGTTTCAATTGCTCCTATAATGACTTTAATGTTTTATATGACTTAATTTAGACATTAAATTTCATTTCAACTAACTTCAAACCTTAATGTTTCAATTTTAAAGTCTCTCTTCAATGTCTTCAATCTGTTTTTCAAAAAGATCTAACTTTTTTTGAGTACATAAACCATATTTCAATTGGCAAATTATGTAAAAGACGATAATACTTGATAAATTTATGAATATTTATAAAATATCAATGTATCAGTTAACATTTGAGGTGATGCAGTTTGGTTTTTAGACTAGGGTGTTTCGAATAAAATAATAAACAAGATAAATCTTTTTTATTTAAATTATATATTGTTTACATGTATATAAATTATGTTTCTATATTATGTAGATAGTGTAGGTACAAAGGTTAGCACGGCGTAAAAAAATATTTTTTATTTAAATATATTTGCTATATATCCATTTTTATAGTCTTAGAGAAATTAAATGATCATGACTTTTATAAGAAATAATAACTCTAAATGGTTCCGTCACGTCTATGTGACCCTAATGATCTAACTTCACCATTGTGTCATTGAGAGAGAGCTAAAGGTCACTAACTTATTTTGAAATAAGTCATTGGAATAGGATATGACCAAATGAAGTTTTTTTTTTTTTTTTGGACAAAATAAATGAAGAGAAAAGGCCAATTAGTATTTGAGAAGTAAAACATTAGGTTCAGAAACTTCCTATTATATAAATAAAGATATTTTAAAAAACAATGAACGAACTAATTGAACAAATAGATTTTTTAATATTTATAAACATTTTTAATTTGATTTTGTAGTCATATCTTTTAGGTTCGATGCCATTTTTTAAAATGTATTTTATAAAATACTAGGCCAAAGGTCACCAAATGAGCAGTTATCACATCATGTATTATTTAATCGACATTTTAGCTTCAAGAATAATTTTCAAGATTCCGTTTGAAAATAAATCCATTCCTGTATGAATGTGTTAGTGATGAAGAATACTTTTAATATCGTCTACGAAAGATGTACATAAATTGAGAACAAATAATATTCTTTTTGTTTTTGTTTTGTTTTCTTAAAAATTTTAACATTCTATTTTAATTATTTATTTATTTATCATAACATTTAGAAGTGAAAAAACGACATTCGATGAAATAAAAAGAATGACAAACCAACAAATTATATTATATTGATACATTTTAGGAAATTTTATGAAGCGTCGCATGGTAGTTAGATGAAAAATTTTACATTACTTTTAACAAAAATGTTATTTTATAAAATAGAATTTGAACTATTTATAAAACTGATTGTTATTGAATTGATATGTATTTTATAATGATGTAGTTTGAAGTATAACAACTGAATTAAAATTAGTTTGCAGGATCTTGAAAATGGCTTCTGAAGCCGAAACGTCGAATAAATAATACATGGTGTGATAATTGTGTACATTTGGTGACCTTTGGCCTAGTATTTTATAAATTATTTAATTTGCATTATGGGTGGTAAAACTACATTATTTATTATACAATTACAAACATTTGGCATGATAGCATTATAACAAATTTTTACATTCTATATTGATAAAAAATGTGTATTTTTACATTTTCACAAAGTCCTCTCTAAATATTTTCACCTTTGAAAACTCAAACCTTTTAATAATAATTTTGATCTGATTTGAGAAAATTAGAATTCTCTTTGTAAACCAAAATTATTAACATATTATATCTACTCTACAAACTTTCATGTTAAAGGTTATAATGCTAGTTTTGTACAAGTCATATATAAAAAGATCTTGATAACATCTGCAATTCTATTTTTCAGATGGTAATCAATTCTAAAAAAAAAATTATATAATTTAAAATCATTTATCATATCTTTGTTATCTTAGTCTTTAACAGATGACTTCATTATATATATAGTTTGATACAAAACAAAATAGATTTTATGTATTAGGTTTCCCAATTAGATCTAAATTTAAAATCATAAAATATAAATTAAAAAAATAGGTAAAATTAATTTAATAAACAGGAATATGAAAATTGCTATGAAAATGAAACAATATAATTATGTTGACACATAGTGTTGTTAATCAGTGAAATTTTTATATTTAATGCATAGGCAAAGAAAAGATGAGGCTGGATTGTCTGGTATTCTAAACTGATGGACTATTCTTTTGCTTACAAATTTTTCCTAGTTTTATATTTTTTAAATAAAAAACAATTTTTTTTGTTTTTTTATATGTGTCTAAATAAGAATGTTCTTTTGACTGGTTATCAGCCACTTTTGAAGTGAAGTGACATGAGTTATTCCATTTCTGCTAGATTTTTTCTTTTTTTTTTCTATTCATTATAATTATAGCAAGTAATTATTAATTATAAAAATTAATAATTATTTTGAAATTTTACTATTTTAAAATACGATAAAATTTATGAGTAAAATATCAGGGGGGTGAGAACGTGAGCTTACAATTGAATATTTTGTGACATATAAAATATTGAATGCAGGAGAAATGTTCCTTCAGGTTATCCACTTCTTATTTTGACTTCTGTGTAGCCAATAATGTATCCTATTTATTTTCTTAATTTGTGTAAAATTTTGATTAAATATTTTTTATTTTGGCTAGAGACTCTTTATATTACAGAAAAACAACATTTAATTTTATAATCTTCATTTAATTTTTCAATTGAGAACTTCTTATTTATTAATATTATTATTTTTGTTATTTATCTTTAATGATTATCTTAATTTTTTGATATTGTCCAAAAGTTTAGAGTGATAGATATTACTACATCATTTAATAGATCAATTTAAAGAAAATATAATGTATTTATGGTCTTTAAGGGATATTTTAAATGCTTTGAAAAATAAATGTTTCTTCAATACTATTTTATACAATTAAATATGAAAAATCATATTTCAATCATTTGTGCGTGCGAATTATTTACAAAGTTGACTAGGAATAAATCTTAACCTAAATCATGACCCAGCCTGCTGTGGTCATAATACATAAATTTATATAAAAATATAATACTGTTCACAATCATTCATCAACAACTTCACAGCTGTGATATTTGGAAGAAGTTTCCAGCCATGATTCTACCTCAGCACTTGATCCGAGATCATCAGAACAGACAACTTCATTCAGTGGCATCATCTCTGGTACCCTGCCATTCGGAATCGTTGGCCCTTGTCTCCTTTCCTTGAAAAGCCTCTCTCTGCTGCCTGTTACTGCAATCATTGAGGGAAATGATGATTCATACATTATAATGCTGATTTCAGGAAAAGATTTTTTTTTTTTCAACTATAATGATTGCTATTAAATATGAATGGAACTGAATGAAGGGCAATGAAAAAACGAAATAAAATGAAATTTTTGCAGCATTGAAAGATTAATGAATATTATTTATAAATTTAAAACAATAAATTATCTTAAATAAACGAAATTTAATTAAATATCTTCAATTTAGTGATAATTTATATGGAATATTTTTAAAAATTTTCAAACCATTTAATACTTTTGTCAATATTTTATTTTTTAATTCACATCTGCCAAAAGACAGTACCCAGCGGCACTTCATTCTGCCGTCTACTTGTATTGATGGGTAAGTCAGATGTAGCGATATTTCTTACAAATCTGTTAATATGTCAATGTAATTTATTATGATGAGGTATGCATTAATATTCAGTAAATGCTCATTGTTAGATCTTGGTTAGTACAAAGAGTTTTCTTGTTCTTACACAAATGAGTTAATCTTATTAGTTTTAAAACTTTGAATTGAAAATATTGTATTGTAGAAACCACATGTTAAAAGGCACTAAGGGTGTAAGATAAAGAAGAAGAAGCATTGAAGAGACTTGTATTTATATGAGTTTAAGTGGTTAAGAATATGCATTTGATGTTTGTTTAATTTCCAGTTTGGATGATTTGGAAACAAGAGAGAAGATTAGTTTCATTTTGACTTTTGAGCCCCAAATCATTTTTTGATCATTCCAAGTCCATGGTAATATACTATATCTATCTAAGATATTTGTTTTTGGTGAACAGATGTAGTCTTCAAAATATAAATGTAATGAGTTGGGATTTAATCACACTATCCAAAGTGATTAACATTAGTGTAAATTTTATAATTTTCCAAAATCTGTGTAGAATGGTGATACATTTTTGAAATTATGAAATCAATGGTAACATGGTTTCAGGGCTCTGACAGCTGCCTATCTTAAATGCAATTTGCAATTTTAAAAAGTTGACTTAAAAAATTACCAACTATCCGAGGCATCTGAAAAGAAGATGGCCCCATGATCTCCTAATGTAGACATATCATTAAAGTGCTACCATTGGGTAGTTTCTCAATAAGTGTTTTCACGTCATTATATCCATATGTTCAAATTTACTAAATGTATTTCTTTAATACGGTTGTAAATGTCATTAAGAAATAATAAAAAAAAAATTACCATAGCAAGACTAAATTTTGATTATAAATAGAGTTTATTTAAAATTTTTAATAAATAGAGTTGATTTAAAAATTTTAATTAAAAAAATATAACTTCTAATGATACAGTCAAACCTCAACATATTCATAAGGAACGGGGGGAAAAAAGTTGATACTTAGAAAGATTGTTAATTTTCATTCTTATTTTACTTAAGACAATTACACTTATTTTTAGGGTTAAAGAAGTACTAGGTGTGTAAATATGAAACCAGATTTTGTCTGTAGTTGTCTCTAGTTGTCAATGCAGTTACTATTAAACCACATTATTGGCCTCATTTTGTTTCTTTGACAGCTGGAAAAGATTTTAAACTCACAACACAATTTTCATACAACAGCATCCTAATAGAGTTAAACATGTTAAGTTTTGTGCCTACAAACTACAATTGCAGACAGCATTAGTTTTTTGTGACCATCTAAAGAAAACTACAGTAGAATTGCATCAAATGCTTTTCGAAGCTTACGGTAAGCATGATATTGGTAAATCACCATGCTTTGAGTGGTTTAAAAAATTTAATAGTGGCAATTTTTATGTGAAAAATGAAGAACATGGAAGATCTCTAAAAACAAAGAGACAACAGATTGTAAGCACTAATAGATGAAGATGATGCTCAAATCCAACAACTCTTGGATATATCAAAGTGAGTGTCACTTTAAGATGTCTCCATATGTTTGAAAACCATGAGAAATATCCAGAAAATGGGTAATGGGTTCCACTAGAACTGAATTGAAGAAAGACAGCAAGAAAATCTGAAAACTACCTCAGAAATAGTGCTAACAAAGTACAAAAGAAAGTCATTTCTCTATTGAATTGTGAAAGGTGATGAAAAATGAACATATTTTGAGAATCCTAAGCATCAAAGATCAATGATAAACTGGCAAGTGAACCATCAACATTGATTGCAATGCCAAGTCACTATAGAAAGTAGACAATGGTATGCGTTTGGTAGTAACAGAAAGATGTGAGTTATTATAAGTTGATAAAAACAGATGAAACCATTAATACTGAATGCTGTCAACAAAAAATATGCAAAGTGATATCAAATTGCGTCAGAAAAACCAGTGAAGGAAACTATTGAGGAGTTCAGTTGGGAAATATTAGCACATATGGCTTTCTCATCTATCTTATTTTCATCTGACTACTATTTATTTGCCTCAATGTGGCACTTATTTTGCTTAGCAGCCCTTTAATACTTTTTTTTTTTTTTTGGGTCCTCCCCTTCCTCGCCGTTAAGGCTATACGGGGGTTTTCCCGGGCCAGGGGGTGTGGGCGGGAATATAAAAGTGGTTCCAAACTCCTCCAATAATTCCAAAAGTTTTAATAGCTGAATTGTACACACACTGACACCCCTTAGGGCTATTGACCAATGTAATCCTTGACTTCCTCAGCTAGTCTTTGCGCCTAGGGGCTTGATCTTGTTCCACCACTCACCAGTTGCAGACGTTTACTTGGTTACAGGCATCCCTGGCGACAATTAATGTCCTTCAACTGTTTCCTGGGTACTTCTTCCTCCAGCAAGCATGTAAAATGGCCATTCCATCACAGTTGTTTTTCTGATTAGTCTTGAACCTCTAGTTCTCTCTGAACCTTACCAGCCCAAAAATTCGTCGAAGTATCTTTCTTTTGAATATAAGAATCCCCCTCTCCTCTTTACTAATGAGGATCTAGGTCTCTAATCCATAAGGTAGGATGGGCCTAATCAGGGCCCAAAGAGAAGAGGTAGCTACACAGTGGCACAAATACGAACTTGCCAGTTGTTTTCTGAAACCAAAGTAGTACCTGTTGGCTTTGATAAGTTGCTGACTGGTTTCCATGGAGATCATTTTCCCACAACTTATAACTGACCCCTGGTACACAAATTGGTTGAAGTTATGGCACAGGAATTGACCGATCATCACTGCCTATCGATTTGCTGTCTCTGCTCTAGGCCCAGCTCTCTTATACTTAGTCTTCTCCTTACACAAATTCCCATATCCTCCTTCAACTTGAAAAAAGCTTCTTTGAAGAACTCAAAGGATCTTGCAACAATGTCCAGGTCATCAGTAAAGCTGAGTATTTGGATGTGCCATTTGATGATGGTATCAGAGGTCTGCATGCCTGAATCATGTACGACTTTCTCCAAGGCCAGGATGAACAATAGGCAGGCGAGGCCATTGCCCTGTCTAACAACTTTAGTGTATTCAAAGTGTAGAGAGAGCTCTACCTGAATCTGCACAGTACACCTTGTACCATCCATGGTCATCTTGACTAGTCAAACCAGTTTCAAAGGGACTTCAAGTTATCTTAAAGATGCGTACAACTTAAGCTTTTTAATACAATCATAGGCACTTTGGAAGTCGACAAAGATGTGGTGAGTAATCATCTAATACTCCCAGGATTTCTTGAGAATGATCTGGAGTTTGAACAATTGATTAATTTTAGATCTCCCTTATCTGAAACCTGACTGATATTTTCCAATTTATCTTTCTGGAAATGGAAGAATCTTCTTATAATAACAAAATCATGGTTTTTTTTTTAATTTTTGATACTGTACTTGCCATAGCATCTTATCTTTTTACCACATATTTATTTTTGTTCCCACTTTTAAAATCTTTTATTAAGTCAAACTTTTTTTTAATGATTTTAATTAATTAACTTAATGATTATCATTTCACAGCCATGTTCCCTACAAGAAAAAACTACGTTAAATCAAATTTAAAATGAAAATTTTTCTATGTGTTAGAATATATTGAGAGAATTTGATTTATATAGATACCGTATTTTCTGCTTCTTGAACAAGGTCTTCCCCGAATTTCCTTTGCTTTGTGAAGCTCAAAAGTTTGTTTTCCTATTTAATTATTACCCATTCCCATGATCACATTAAAGGGCCCTGTAAGTGTGACTTTTTACTCAATATATAGAGATTTTCGATAAATGATAGTGCATTATACAAAGATTTTACTGTCTTTTGAAAATAAGAATTTCAGATATTTTAATACTAATTTTTTTAAACTTGCATAATTTGGTGTATATATTTATAAAATATTTATTTTTAGGCTTTAAAAATGTAATCCAAATTACATCCAAGACATGAGGTTTCTTTAAAATTAAGAGTACTGAGAAATTTGAAGGATTCTAATTCTGGAGATTTTAAAAATCTGGTCTTAGAAGTTTGTATAAGAAAAATATTGGGACAGTGTCAGTGTTAATACAAAACAAAAGCAGTACAATGTTTCAATATCCATCTGATAAGGAGATTCAAAGGTTGGAGTGGAGCTATTCCTCTACATTAAGTTCAAGGAAATTTCATTAAGAACTGGTTGATTAATTGAGAATAGTAGAAAATAATTGTCATATAATGAATCAATAGATCTGTGGAGATTAAATTAGGATAATAATGAGACCTTCTAATTTCCTAACTTATTTTCAGAAAAGAGTAATAGGATAGATCCATGAAAACGGCAATTCAAAACAAAACATAGAACTAGGCTCATTTAAAAATTAAAGTAAATAGGACCAAAAAGGAATGCTAATAAGGATGAAAAAAAAATTGGATAACCTTTAGAAATAAAGTTGGAAATTAAATTACTGATGGACACTGGAGAGAGGGGAGAAGTTTTCATATTAAAAAAAAAAAAAATTAATTATGCCACTCATCATTTCATCAGTGTTCTGTAAAACGGGTGAATTTAACAAATTGATTATTTTATGTTTACGCCTCCTTAGATTTATGCCATGAATAGCTACAAATTTTTAAAAACAGTATAACTTTTATATTTGAACATTCCTCTTGTAGATTTGATGTAACAATGGAAAAAAACAACATAATTTTCGGAAAATTCATGGAGAATATGCTATCCTGAAAAATAGTTAATTGTCGCATTTGCCGTTTTAACAGAACAATGACAATTTATATTAATTTGTTATATATTTACAAATTACAATTAATTATTTTATTAATTGTAATATGTCAGTATTAATTATTGTTGTGATGGAAAGGAAATGTTCATAGTTAAATAAATATGAAGTTTCTTTTGTTGTAACATCCAACAGTTCAGCCAAATTTTGTCAATAGAGTAAAATATTGGTAGATCACTCAAGAATTACTGTTGTTATTGGCTTACAAAGTTTAGCGGAAAGGTTGGCTAGTATAATAAAAAAACTAAAACAAAAAAAATGCTTATTTTATTGTTTTTACTTAACAAATTATTATTAAAATACAATCATCTATTACCTATTATTTATACATATCTTTTCTTTTTCAGAAAAAAAAATTATATAAACTAATATTTAATTAGCAAAGAATATCTGAACTTCAAAGGTATAATTGTTAATAGTTGCTCTAATGATATGATAATATCTATGGATTGGATAATGTTTGAAATAGAACTGGTCTATTAAGATACTTCTTTTCTTTTTTTAACTTTTAAGTCATCATATTTGTTTCCTTTGTAGTCCAGATTTTGAATTTGACTTTTTAAATAGTGAAGCATCACTGCTGTGCAAAAAAATAATTGAAGGTGTAATCAGTCAGTGCTGTCATTAAAGAGATATTTAAAATATAGCAGTGTTTGATTGTGTGTTTGTTAGCTAAAGCGTGGAGCATTGGAGCAATATTTGTACGTACCAAAAGATCTCCTATAGCGTATTTGTTGTAGAAAGCCAAATCAAGACCATAAGAAAAAAAAAATTATTATTCATATTCAAGCTTTAAAATATATAATTAACATATATTGGATTTATGTAAACTGTGCCATTTTTTCTTTGTAGAGTTAAATGTTGGATAGATTAGTTGGACAATTTCATGACGCCACTGGAAAAAGTTGGGCAAATAATGCAATTTTTTTAAATCTTAAAATTGTTTAGAATAAGGTGTTAATTTAGGCGATTAATGAATAAAATATTTATTTTTAAAATAATGTGGAATATTTTATAATTTTTTGTTTGTATTACGTTTGTATCTAACCTGAAAGTTGTAAGCATATAATATCACTTTCAAATAGGAAAGAAATGACATACAGAGGAGACTATTCTATTCAATACTTGATATCAATTCTATTAATTGAACACCGATATTAAGTTTTGTCAAATAATAACGATATAGTGTCGTATGTAATGTTATAAATAAAATATTATATCAAATGCATAATATCACTAGTAAAGGTACTCTTAAAAATAACTAGTAAACAGCTATACTTTAAGGTTACCTCAGGACGGAAATATTGAAAGAAATCACAGAAACAAAATCCATACCCATTTTGATAAACATTTATTAATATCAATTCGAAAAGTTGTTTATAGTGTATAATATGTTATCGTTAATTATAATATACAGTTCAGTTTATATTGCATATATTTTATGCTCATATATTTTTAAATACCCATATTCAAGAAATAATGAAAAAACAAAAACATTTCTAGTGGCTGACTTCTACAAGCTACAGAGGAGTTCCACTGTATTCCACTTATTACAATATTTAACCTTAACCATATTTATAAATTTTAAATAATTAATAATCTAAGAACATCTCTTTAAAAATAACATTTTAATTAATTAGCTAAACAAATTACCATTTTCATTAGAATTTTGGCAACCTCCAGATAAAATTGCCTTATGTTTCACTAGAGCTTTGAATGATGGATTTTTGTGGTCTCCTGAAGCCAGAGATGAAGTTATACTTGGTAGCCTTATGTCAAGATGGTAACCTTTTTCTGTAACAATCTGCAGTTAAGAAAATTAATTTAGTAATTTAAAAATTAGATAATTTAATGAATATATATTTAATAATTACTTATTACCACCATTTAATGCTTTTGAGAAAAAAATGTCTTAATTGAAGTAAGAAGTGAAATCGCAAAGTGACCATTTCAGCATTCTTAGAAAAGGCAGTTTAAAATGTTGACAAATTTCATAAAGCTTTTAAATTTGAATAATACTTTTATTATGGTTCTTCTTTATGTACCTTAAAATATTTGAAAAAAAAGTTAACTCCATACATTTGTTATCATTGTTTAAGAGGACGGGTTGGCGGAGTACGTTGGGGTATGGTTCTTCAGAGCATAGGCACCGACTTTCCATTTTGATTGAGGGGGGAAGAGTGAAGGACAAAAAAACAAAAAAAAAAAAAAAAAAAAAGGCAATAGTTTTTATTATGTGTAAAAAATCAATATAATTATTGTGAAACGAGCAAATATAATATTGAATATTTAAAAATAAATTTATATTTTTGTTTGGAAGTTGTATAATTTTTTTATGTGCACATGGATATACTTAAAATATCTAAACAAAATAATTGGATTATTAAAATGCATTAAATGTGGAAGGATGGGGGACAGCCTTTATAACATAGGCACATTTCTATAACTTTTCCCGCTTATAATTATACTTAGTATGTATAATGTTAATACAAATATTTTTGATTTCTTATTTTGCACTGTCTTAAAATAAAAATACAATGTTTTCACAGACTAACTAGTTATGTAAAAATGTCTAAAAAAATATTCTCTATAAAATATATTTAAACTTATTCTTATACTAAATATATTTTTTCCAAACATAGCCTAAAAAATTTATAAGAAAATCACATGGAAATGGAGGTGTACACATGAGAGGATAATGTATCATAAAATCCTAGGAAATGTTTTTTTTCTAATTATCCCTGATCAAAATGAAAATGAAAATAATAGAAATGTTTGGGTCATGATAAAATAGTTATGTACCTACTTATAGACCTTCGCCTAGCTTAGCTAGTCGAATTTTCTTAATCAATTTTAGTTTACGTATTTTATTTATTCATGTTTCTTATTTGTTATCAATTTTAATTTTTTTTTTTACTTCAAATTATTGGGTGGAGATATGCTCGTTCCTTCAAACATTTTAATTGGGAGGAGGGTAATCCCCCCCCCTGTAGTCTGTGTTCTATGTCTTAGAGTTTCCGGTTCTGAATGTTATGGGTTTGATTCCCAACTGGGTCAGTTAATTCTCATTTCTTGGCGGCCCCGGGAAATGAATCTTGACATTCCCACTGTGGTAAGAACGTGGCGGCAACCTCAATGTAGACATCAGGAGTTAGCAAAAAGCACCATGAGGTCCACTTGTCAGACTAGTTCCCTCCCACCAGTACTCATTGTTTAAGTTTAATGGGTGCCACTTTTACGTCATAGTTTCCGAAGGTAAGTCAAAAATAGTAATAAATTAAGATAGAGAATGGCAAACAATACAAATTTATTATTGTAATTTTGAAATATTTAATATTGAAATCTTTTTAGCTGAAATCTTCACTTGTAAGAATTTTCGAGAAAAAAAAATAACGCATTTTTTATATATTTGTTTTATTTATTCAGAAGTTGATTGCTAATCTTAAGTAATTTTTACTCCGACTCATTACATTCTACATGTAAAATTATCTTCAAAGAGTTTGAAAAGAGAATCACCAGTATTATTTAGTGATGTACACATGGGAGGAGAAACAAGGGAAATTTACCCTCCTATAAAGAAATAACATAGTAAATAAAAAAAAAGTAACAAATCAATCCACGTTAGTTTCTCTCTTAGGAAAGCCTCATGCCATAAGGGTTGACAATAACCCTGTGCCTTCAAACTACTGTTTATGGTACCTCGGACTCTGTTTAGACAAAAGACTTACTTGGAATATACATACAAAATTAAAAAGATAAGAACTTACTAGAAAATATAGCCAACTCTCACATCTTCTGGACTATAGATCTTTACTTAACTTATGAAACAAAGGACTGATCTACAAAACCCTACTGAGACTAATATGAACATATGGAGCAGAGCTTTGGGATTTGGCAAAACAAACACATATAAACAAAATACAAACCTACATTCACGCCAAATAAACTACATTTCATTCTTCAACTGAAAATCACACCAATCCTCTGGTTCTTTCTATCTCCTGCTCTCTGTTAGCTGAACAATACAGATTAAAAAAGAAATGGCCAAGAGACCTACTACATTGATAATAACAAAATCAAGCAAATACACACACAAAAAAATATAAATTCAACAAATTTGCTAAATGCGCTGCCGCGCAGGTGCAAATTGCGTGGAATATATATAAATAAATAAAATAATAATAAAAAAAATGTCTGTTAAAAATATATTATCAATTTAAATTATTATATTCATAATCATACTCCATTTTTGAAAAAAAAAATCATTTGTACCATTTTACTTCTCATCCCGCATTGGATATTTTATAATTTTTATTAATTTCTTATATTAATAAGTTATTTAAATGTGTCATTCCCTCTCTAATGTCAGACGTGAAAGAATAAATTTAATTCTGTGAAGACAAGCTATACTTTCTAGCACAGGCGGATCTACAGGAGGGAGGAGGGACTTTCTGGGTGAGGCACCTCCATAATGGTAAAATATAACCATCTTTTATGAAAAATATTATCTCTCAAAGTATTATTGTTCATCTAATTACTTTTAGTAGGATTTCTAGAAACACTTAAACACCTTTTCAAATAGGTACTTAGCTTCATTCTTTTCCTTCCAAAGTAATTATCACAACATGTATATATAAAAAAAAAGCTTCTGGACCGAAGTCCTCCAAAATTAAATCCTAGATCCGTTAGTGCTTCCTAGTAGATGTATTTTCTATAATTATAAGTATGTCAGATGGTTATAATTAATTCTGGAAGTCTATATATTTTCATATAGTAATTGTCACTAGTATCATTAGCTCATGAAAAAAATCACCTTATTATTCATAGCATACAGTTTTGTTGTTATGTCTCTAGCTATTAAGGTGGACATGACTGTGGCAAGATATGTTTCCTTTGCGAACAAGTATTCCAATGATGTCCTTTGCCAGTATAAGTATCTACATGAAGTTGCAGCTACAATTGATACCTATTAAACAAATTATTTAAAAAAATGTTATTATCTGTTAATAAATAAATGGATAAATTATATTCTAAATCCAAAAAATCATTATTTTCATAAAAATAAAATTTATGGACAATGTACGGATACTTTTAAAGTTTAGTTTAAACTTTCATTGTTGTGAATTGTCTAAATAGAGGACAATATTCCATCAAAATTTTCCCAGAAAACAAATACAAAACAAAAGTGATATGTTGGGTCATTACTCTAAAATAAATATCATTTTGTGAAAAAGAAACTTAATAGGATGTGTCTAGTTTATGTGACTAGTTGTCTATTTTTGAAGGATGTACTATTGGATTATGGGGTATTAAAACAAAAAAAACAGCTGAGTTCAATGTTACTCTAATCGAAACTACTGGCAAATAGTTCCAAGCCAAAGCATATCCATGCCACTCATTGGTCTGCCAACTTTTTGTTATATTTATTTATGCTTTATGAATTATTTACAGTAATTAAATACATATCTGATTCATACAATTACTAAATAAGAAATGATAAAGTAATTTTTTACAACAGGTTGTTGAAAAATCTGAATGCACTCTCAATATTTTTAGTGGAATTTGTGGTTGAGGAATGAGAATAAGCAATCAAATATTTTTTTATTTTTTGAAACTGATAGGAATAACATTAGACAATGGTATAAAAACAGACATTCATAAAACAAATATATCAATAAAACAATTATATTTAATATTATAAATATATAAAGAAAACAATTATAACCTAATTATTATTTTCAAAAAGTTCTATTCTAAAATTTTCTTACACATTATCACTTTATTTAGGTTTATCCTTCTGTAACATTAGAATGTTTAAAAAAAAAAAATGTTTTCAACATTAACTTGAGTAGCATATTTTTATGAACTGGTTAAAATTTGTTCAAAGTTGAGGTTCTTTTGAGTTTTCTCTAAGTCTGCTGTTTCTTAAAACTTATTTCATATGATTATTTACATGATTTTTCTCTCTAATATTTTACTTTAAAATTAAATATTATTTTCATTATAATGAAAGTAAAATATTTTTTTAAAATTCAAAATGAATACTAACAGGTACTTATTCTTAATTTCGTACATTTGTGTTTTCAGTCTATCTGAAAGTTTCTTTCTTTAATATTTTTTAGTTTTTTCATGGCCCCTTGTTTATCCAAAATCTTCTACTAATAAGAGAGAATAAAGAAAAATTACATACCTTGAATTTGTCATCCATATTTGCTCTACTTTCAAATTCAGGCGAGTCCAGGAATTCACATGCTAAAATAGGATGAAGGAAATGGCCATCACAAAGAACATTCAATTTTCCAGACAAGAGTAATCCAAGCCTGTCTGTTCGTGTTAAATTTTGTAATGCATATGCTTCACCTGCATGCAGTGACATTATTTGAGCCATATCATTGTTTATGAGTTTTTTGAACTGAATTCTTGTGACCTGAAATAAAAACAAACTATATTTTCAGACAGACAAATACTTAAATCCACTAGCGGATCTAGGATTTAATTTGGGGGGGGGCTTCAGCCCGAAAGCTTTTTTTTTTCTCCCTTAAAATAACGATAATTACTTCGGAAAAAAAGAAAGAAACTAACTACCTGTCTGAAATAGTGTTTAAGTGATTCCTAAAGTCCTTTTAAATGTAATTACACGAACAATAATACTTTAAGAGATAATTTTTAAATATTTTTTTCCATAAAACATGGTTATTTCTTACCATTTTTGGAGGGGCTTTTGTGTATGGGTCATAGCATGATTTGCACGTGTGCACAGCACCATGTGTTGCCTGGCAACCTGGATAGAATTAATGTGATAAAATAATACCGATTTCGTGTCGTGGTGCTAAGGGGAAGTTTTAACTCATTTTTAATATTTGGCATTAATCCTCTGTCTTCATCCCCTGGCCCAAGAAATCCCTGTTAGCCTAAAAGACGAGGAAGGGGAGGAAGGGAAAATTATTTTTATAAAAAAAAAATTATTCTTCAGCTTCATACATTGATAATTTTAATTCTTAATATATCTAATAAATCTTATAATTTCATATTGATCTGGGGAACCTCATATAGTTATATTGTTTGACAATATGGAAGTTTTAAAATATATTATTACATAAAATAGTGAATTTTATAAAACAGTAAATACTGAAAATAAGTACAGATTTTATTAGCCTACCTTGAAAGGTACGAAAAGTGTATGATAGGCTTCTTCTAATTCAGGATCGAACTTAACAGGCCTCATCCTATAAAGTAGGAATATTAACTGGAATAAATTGATGATAGTGTAGCAACTGTTCCAAAAGAATATGTCTGGTGCGCAAACAATAATCCATGCCCATGCGGAAAAAATGAAAAAACCTAAACAAAAATAATAGCTGTAATTGTTGTCATTATAAAAATGGAAATTGAAAATAATTTCTCTTTCAAAAACTAGAATATTTAGGTATGTATATTTTATAATATTAAACTGTGCTATAAATAATGTAGTATGAGCAATGAGTGATTTAAAAAAAATATGCTTTCCTTCATTCCTTTATAGAGGACGCTTGAAAGAAATTTACATTCCAAGCTTACTTCACCATCTCTAAGTGTTTTAAACGCCATTTCTTAAATGTTTTTAGTGGCTTACCAACTGTAATGATGGTGCAAAATTCTGATGATTACAAGAGAACTGCCATATTGTAAATAGATTGTACATGGCACATTGCATGTAATCATAAAGAATGGAAGAAATATCATAAAATCAGTTCTTGTAGTTGACTAATTATTTTTAAGAACTAAATGAAAAAATTGCACTGAATTCGTTTACAATTTTGTACTTTGGCCAAATAGATGGTTAAAAAAACAATATAATGTTTTTTATAATTTATTTGTATATTTGTTGTTTTCTAAAGCAGAAGACAATATTATGCAAATGTAATAAACAATATTCGCATATAATATAATTATTAATTTAAAAGCAATATACACACCATAAATTATATAAAATAATACACCATTGCAAAACAATAGAAGAAAAACTCCTCTCCCTTTGACTATCCCCACCAGAACAATAGAAGTCAGTCCCTCCACAAATGCCATAGGGAAAACTCTAAAATATCAGGATAGTTTTAATTTTCTCAGAAAAATTAATATGACAGTGAATAATGGAAATTTAATGGAGGACTCAATAAGGTAACAATCAATTGTATATAATGAGTAAAGTTACATACATAATAGGCTTTTAGAAACTATACAATACAGTGAAATTGTATGACATGGATCGTTAAATTAGATAATTATGTAAAATATAAAAAAAAAAAAAAAATTGTAAATGTAAATGTAATCTAACAATGACATTAAAATTTTTCCAGACTTGAAAATGGTCCTAGTGATCGTCGAAAAGTTGTCTAAATAAAGTAAATAATGAATAAAATGTTGGTAAATAATGGCCTAATTTAAAAAAAAAAAATAAATAGAACATCAAGACACCAATTCTAGGAATAATGAACAGAAGTAAAATAATTATATTTAAATGATTAACTGTTGCGATGTTGACATTTTTATTCAATTATTCTAGAAAAGTTTTACATAACTCCTGTGTGAGAAAATAAAATAGGTGAAAATAAATAATTAAACTATTTCAGGGAACATAAAGACGGATTACGGTAATATAATATAATATAATATATATAATATAATTATATAAATTTACATTGGAAATTCGAAGAACTAGAGTTTGTAATATTTATTACAAAAACAGTTAATACAAATTAAAAGATTATTGATTATTATCATATTTTTTTATTTTATATTACTTTATTTTAATACATACCTAATTTGTTATGACATTGTTTGTAATAAATGATTAAAAAATTAATAGTAGACTTGAATAGATGAGAAACTACATGTTCATTTTGTAAAAAATATATATACAATAAAAACTAGGGCTGGTATATTGTATATTTATATTCAAGTTCTTGTATAATTTTTGAACTTAAAAAATTTCAAATTTTTCCAAATTTGGGGGAAAAAATTAAAAATGGTTAGTCTAGATAACAGACTGTCAGGTTAGTTGATGTATATGTAATCAAAATTCTACTGTATGTACTTTCCTGTCAATTGTGATTTCTTGAGAGAATAATGTAAACATTTAAATTACACATTGAAACATATTATTTTCTTTACTAATAAACCAAGATTTTGAGTGTCTAAAAAACAACAATCTATTAATTTCTTACTTAGTATTAAATCTTAAACTTAAATGCAAAATCTCTAAATGTACTTACATTAATACTCCCCATGGTCTGTTGATTTTGTTTATTGAGTAGTATATAATTAATATTTACCTAAAACTAGAGCTGCATGCATAAACAAGATCCCCTTTTTGGTAGAAGGAACTGCATACGAAAGAAAGAAACAGGCATTGGCTAGTTGGAAAATCAAATGTTGGGGTGGTCTCCAGTTTTCACACCATCCAAGGCTAACTGAAAGTAAATCGTCATTCTGATTCAGATCAAAAGTTTAATTCGATCTTCTAGATATTATAGAAGAAAATTTAAATAAACATTCCACTATTTTAAACCTGATCTGTTTGTAAATAATCCATCGAATATATCTCTTAAGGTGTTTCTTCAATGCAGCAATTGACTTCGATGTTGTAACATTTGTTCCTAAACCCAAAAACCAATTAAAAATTGCAGTCTTTGTCTTTTCTCAGATTTTACATTAACTTATGCTCAGCAAGAATAAAAATTGTGCCAGGTCTTTTTGGTGCTTCTTTCATCAGCAGACACAGCGAAAAACTATCAGCTAAATTTCAGAAGCTGCTGATATCTTAGCATCGCATTCAGGAAGTAAAGATTTTGCCATGAGGCCTCAAGGGATCTTATAATATTATGTAAAGTTTATATCATAAAATGCCTTTTAATTTTGCAATATAGCAAGCTTTGATTATTTACAAACAGATGGCAGTGCAGCAGCAGTCAGCAGTACAGCTTCGCTTCATAGTTAGTAAAGTACTTACTGCCGATGCACAGACTGCTGATAAATTGCTGATTACAGTAAAATGTATATTACATGAATGAGATAAACATTATAAAATAAATTTACTAAATGAGCACAAAAAAATATACACAAACTATATTTTTTAAGCAATAATAGAAATAAAGCGTTCTACACTACATCAGGCATTGATTAGTCAAATTATCATTTTGTATATGAATTATGATTAATAATAATAAATCATGTTAAATAATTTTGTTTGAAAGAAGTAACATAACAAAGCAAATCATATTTTAGGAAAAAATTATTTGTGTTAAATCTAACATTTTTTATTATTTTATGGAAAATGTAATATTGAATATTTCATTAATTAAATAATTCTTGAAAAGTTGAAAAGTTTGAACAGCAACTGTTGGATTGTACTTCTAAAACTGATTCACAGCTTAATTTTTGTCAAGGTTGACGAATAATTTAAATAATTTATTTAGTTATTTTGTTTTTCTTGAGAGTCTTTTGTAACATGCAACTTGGCTCGTCACTTCATTAATTAAATTTGTATCCTTACCAATTATTATTCCAAATTACGAGTGATTTTTCTCTAAGGTTGATGTTAGTGTTCCCTTCAATTATCATATTTTTTTCTTTCTAATCACCCTCATTATATATTTCAAAATTTTTAGGAATACAGAGGAAAACTTTCTTTCCTGATAATAAAAATACTTCTAAAACCGATAGTTTTTTGCAGAAGCTTCCAGATTTTTTAATACCAGAAAGGCCTAAGTATGGGCCCATGTTACATTCCTCTGATAGTTCATGGTGAAGAGTTCTATTTATCAATGATTAGCCTATTTGATGTAGTAAAAGTCTAATGACCTGTGATGTTATTTACTCTGTCAAAATGTTGATTCCCCCTTTTTTTCCATTATAACTTATCATTATAATTTCTTACATTTTTAAACATCTACACTTACCTAAGTTATAATTAGTTTGCATAAAATCAAAGTTACTACCTTCCAAAAAATAATCCTAATCTCAATTTCACATTCAAACTCTGTATGTATCTCTTTTGATATACATACATAATTTTCATAATAACATAATTTTCTTGGTGAAAATCATGTATTGTAATCACCAAGTAATTTTGTGGCCATATCATTCAGTTATGTTTAATTTTTTTTTTAACCCTAATGAATGCCTTCCAATTTCTGAAAATTCTTCCCAATCTCAATTTCATATTGAAACCCCAACTCTCTCATCATCTGTATGTTCCCCATTACCTACTGGTGCTGGTACTGGGTAGAGGGAACTAGTCTGGCAAGTGGGCCTATATTGGTCCTTGTTGCCGACCCCTAAAGGCTACCTTTAAAGTTGCTGCCGCGTACTGGCCAGAGTGGGAATGTGACGATCCATTTCCTAGAACTGGTGAGAAGTGAGAAGTAACCGACCCAGATGGGAATCGAACTCACAACGTTCAGAACCAGGCACTCTGGGACCCACGCCCCAACGTCCTTGGCCATCCTGTCCTCTTCCCCATTATCTATGTTATGGATGTAGTGGGAAAAACAAAAATATAATTTTCCTTCCTTTACTTTATTTTATTTCAAAGCATTATTTGACATGCAGTACTATTCTATTGTCCAAGCAATGAAGTAAATGTGTCTAAAACAGTTTATTTACCTATTCTAATACTTTTCAATCAAGTTTTTGTCTAAAATATTTACAGATTTGTATATATGTATTTTCTAATTAATATTTACAGCATTTTCCTACCCTATACATTGGTACAATGATAACATTGGCCTAATATTGTGATTTGAGCTAAAGCCTAGTTATAATTTACGCCTGATGATATTTATATACAGTATAGAAATTTGTCAACTATCTTCTGAATTTAAGGTTTTTATCAGTTTTAAATCTTTAATTTACTCACTCAAATTATTGAGTCATGGATCACAGACAATCTTAAATGCCTGAAATCATATAGAGAATCACCACAAAGTTATTTTAATCTTTATCACAAGTTTCAACATCACTTTAGTATTTATGATTTGGATAAATGTTTATGCTACACATTAAACTCATAATAACCTGTTTGGTACCTTAGATTTAAATAAATAAGAAAATTTGAGTAATGTTTTTAAACGTATTGGCTTAAACCAAATTGCTATTCATGAAGATGAATAGTGTGTTTTCTTTGTCAGAGGACAAAATTTCTTCTGAAAATTATTTCTGTTGTCCTTTCGTAATTTTTAAAAACAATTATAATGTAATTAAGACTTTATCATGGGATCAGGAAAATTTTACATTGTAAAAAATTCAAGTCATAGAGATTCAAGTTATTGAAAATTGATTGTATTTATTTTTTTAAATAATACA